AGGGATTCTGGGAGTTGAAGTCCACAAGTCATCAAAGGGCCAAGTTTGAAGACCCCTGTCTTAGATCTAGGTCAGGGGTCCTCAACCTTGGCAACTTTAAGACTTGTGGACTTCAACTCCCAGAATTCCTCAGCCAGCGTGCCTGGCTGAGGGATTCTGGGAGTTGAAGTCCACAAGTCATAAAAGGGCCGAGTTTGAAGACCCCAGCGCTGGAGCCACCGAGGGGGAGAGCCCGAAGGCGCCCCAGAAAGCCGGGAGGGGGCGGGGTAAGCCTCGCTCCGGGCCCTGCCTGACTCAGCGGAAACCACCCCGGCCTTCCCTCCGGCCGGCCGTTGCCTCGCTTACCGGCTGAGGTGATCATGGCGCCGCGGCGTCGCAGTCCGGGCCGGCTCGGCGCTCCCGGGGCGGAAAAAGGGCGAAGCGAGACGGAGCCTTTCCTCAAAGCAGCGCCGCTTCCAGTCCGTGACCAAGCGCATTCGCCGCTTCCGGAGCTATAGCGGAAGTGACGCTAGGCAGCCGCGACGGGGCTCCTTCCCTCTCTCAGGGCCGCGGTTTCTTAGCAACCGGCGGCAGGAGCGCGGGGTGGCCATGGCGAACGCCTGATTGGAAAATGGCGGCCGTTGGTGGGCTGGAAAAGGCGGGAAATGATGGAAAGAAAGCGAAGCGAGCTTTGAAAAAAAAAAGAGGAGGCGAGGGGCGGGTGGGTTAGATAAAAAAGTCGACGATGCTACACCTGTTGAATTTCTGCCTGCCCCGCAGCTGACAATCGCACAGGAGCGCCCCCAAAATGGCCGACCTGATCTAGGGAGGCGAATTTCTTGCCTTTTCATTGTTAACAGTGGCAACTGACCGTCGCACATACCACATTTCCAGTCTTTTGCAAACTGGGTTAGGGGGTTAACCCAGGGGTAGGCAACCTCGGCTATTTTATGATTCATGGGAGTTGAAGTCCATGAGTCATAAAAGAGCTGAAGTTGCCTACCTTTGGTTTAACCTGAATTGCCTGAATTCATTGGGTTTGGGAGTGCAGAGAATACAGTATGAAGCCAGACTTTTCCCAACTTTGGAGATTTTAAGGCCTCTGGACTTCAACTCCCAGAATTTCCCAGCCAGCATGGGTGGATTTCAATGCCCAGAATTCCCTTTGTGGAGCTGAAGTCACGAGTTGTTCATGGAGGGCAACAGAACTAAAGCAGCCCCTGTGATGGGTGATCCTGATGTGTGACATATGAAGAACGTTATCTTTTTCGTAATACAAAATATAACATTACAAAATTACAAAAAAGATGTTGAGACTTTGGAAAATGTGCAAAGAGCAACTAAGGATGATTAAAGGCCTGGAGACTAAAACATATGAAGAACGGTTACAGGATTTGGGCTAGGCTAGTCTAGAAAAAAGAAGGACTAGGGGGGACATGATAGCAGTCTTGCAATATTTAAGGGGCTGCCCCAAAGATGAGAGGGGTCAACTTATTTTCCAAAGCATCTGAGGGCAGGACAAGAAGCAAAGGATGGAAACTAATCAAGGAGAGAAGCAACCTGGAATTAGGGAGTAATTTTCCTGACAGAACAATCATCCAGTGGAACCACTTGCCTCCAGAAGTTGTAGGTGCTCCATCACTGGAGGTTTTTAAGAAGACACTGGACGGCCATTTGTCTGAAATGGTATAAGCTCTCCTGCTTGAGCAGGGGGTTGGACTAGAAGACCTCCAAGGTCCCTTCCAGCTCTATTCTGAATTTGAATCTCCGTTGCATGCAGCCTATTTCTCCAACTGGTGAAAAGGTCCAACTTTGCAATGTTTTCCAGGGTTTGTTTTCCTAGAGAAGAAAGCCACTGGACGCCGATTAGTACTTTGCAATCTATTTATGTTGTAATCTGCTTATTTACAAAGATACAGGTTTATTCAATGTATTTGTACAGTGCATTGCCAAATTAGGCAACCTGGTGACCGTTTGCAAGCAAGTCAAACACTACAGAGAGAAATCAGTCCCTTAACATTCTCCATTGCTCCCTCAGAAATTCTCTCGAGAGCACCGGAAAATCCCTTTTGTTTACAGCTGTCATGTAACACAGGCTCCATTTCCTGGGAGATAAGGGAGCTTGCTAACGGAATCCCAGAAGCCTGCCAGACTCCCTCTTTGGTGTACAAAAGTTTCTCAATGAAGTCACAATTTGCAGCAACTCAGAACAAGTGTACAAAATTTCCAATGAGTTGTAAGTTTCAAGAGTTGTTAAGTTTAATTTTGCCCCCTTTTATGACATTTTCTTGCCACAGTTGTTAAATGAATCGCTGTGGTTATTAAGCTAGTAACAGGGTTGTTAAGCTGAATCTGGCTTGCCCACTGACTTTGCTTGTCAGAAGTTCCCAAATTACATGACTCCAGGAGGTTGCAACCATCATAAAGAACAAGCTAGTTGCCGAGCGTCCAAATTTTGATCACATGATCATGGGGATGTTGCAACGGTCGTTAAGTGTGTGAAAACTGATTGTAAGTCGCTTTTTACAATGCCGTTGTAACTTCGAACGTCATTAAAAGGACTGTAAGTCGAGGACCACCTGTATTTTACCTCGTCAGATACTCGATGACAATGGCTCCTGTTTTTAGGAAGGAGGAAGGCAACATGGCTACAAACCCAGCCAAAGGCCTTGCAGCCATATTTAATAGCCAGAAAGGTTTATAGTGGCTTATTGGATAACTGAGTCATTAGCCACGCAGTTCCATCTTACAAGCAAGGACAAACTGTTTATGGAAAACCAACAACGGCTGTAACACTCAGAATTCACATCTGCTCTTTAGGCTATGTTTGAAAGAGGATTAGCTCTAAGTAGCCACTGCGTGGGCAAGGCACCTAGGCCACGAATGGCGGTTTATTCCACAGATATTCAAAAGGCACAGCATTAAAGTGCATTAAAAAAAAGGTCCACCCAAAGGCACAAAGTCCTCTTAAGAGAAAGGGGAAAAAATCGATATTCTGTTTATGAATCAAGACAAGCTGAATTCAAACACCCCACCTGACGACTTGCGATGATCCTAAGCTTATCATTTGATTTGTGAGTTTCAAGGGCTTTTGTTTTATGCAAATTACACTGCCCCCGCCACAGTTTATTCATACACTAATTTAAACTTGGTAGGTGAATCTAGTCAAACATTTGCAAAATTGGGAACCAGCTTCCATTAAAGAAATCCCATTGCTGAAGGATATATCCGCTATAATCTGCCCTGAAAACCGATTTAAGTTGGTAAAAGAATGATGCGGTAACTAGTCTTTGTCCTTCTCTTCCTGTTAATTCCTGTAGCTGGATTTGCACAACCTCAAAAACTGAAACCACCTTTTTGGCTTGCTGCTTAGGCAAGCCCATCTGTGCAAACTGGATTGAGTAAACAATGGTTAATTTCGCCCTCCTATTTGCGAGAAAAGCAAAACGTCGGATACTTGAAACCGTTAAAATGATGAAATGGAACTGGATTCTCAATTGTTTTTGCAGTCGTTGACTGTATTATTACAAAAAATAATTTCCCAAAACTGGGGTCTCTCAAATAAACTAGGTTACAATATTACTATCCTGAGTCATGCTGAGTATACGACAAGTCAGGGACCTACATGAGTTTTTTTCTTTCTTTCTTTTTCCTTCTTTCCTTCCTTCCTTTTCTTTCTTTCCTTCCTTCCTTCCTTTCTTCTCTCTCTATATATATATTCTCCAAAGGACCTGAAGGCAGCACAAGCAGCAACGGATGGAAACTAACCAAAGAGAAAAGCAATCTAAAACGAAGGAGAAATTTCCTGACAGTGAGAACAATTAACCAGTGGAACTCCTTGCCTCCAGAAGCTGTCTGTGAATGCTCCAACACTGGAAGTTTTTAAGAAGAGACTGGACAGCCATTTGTCTGAAATGGTATAGGGTTTCCTGCCTGAGCAGGGGGCTGGAGTAGATGACCTCCAAGATCCCTTCCAACTTTTATTATTATTATTGTTGTTGTTGTTATTATTATTGATCATCGCACAGTCAGCCAGATGTTCAGACTGGATCTGGCATTTTTGTTTACCTATGGAGTCCTTCCCAAGGACCTGGGATAGGCAGATGTGGATGTTTGATGGTATTACAGATATCGTCGCAGGATGGAGGCAGTTCCTAGTAAGGCCGCCTTTTGCAATTGACTCATGGCGAATTTGTCAATGCCAATGGTGTTCAAGTGGTGCTCCAGTTGTTTTGGGATTGTACCCAAGGCGCCTATTATTATTGGTACTACATTATTATTTTTTATTATTATTATTATTATTGCTTTTAAGTAAACCTGCTTTGAACCCATGAGCAAAGAGTCAGAAACAAAATGGGAATTGAAGTTCACCCGTTTGAAAGTAACCAGGGTTGAGAAACACCCATTTCAAAATGGCCAGGGTTGAGAAAGTGGCCAGGGCTGACTAAATTTCCAAAACCTAGCAAGGGACAGAGTACCCACAAGAGCGAATAACTGCACATGTGTATCTTCATTAACAACGTAGTAGAATTTCTTTACCACAAGAAGTCATATTCAGGAACAGAATAAAATGGATTTTTTCCCCTCAAAACACCAGCAACCATTCCTGTTTTCCTTCCGAGCTCCAAGATTTCTAATCCTGCAGACGGGATTCCAGAATGAAGGAGACAAATTCAATAAATTGGAAGAATGAGGATTGCACTGATGTTTCTGTTGTAACCTTCGGAAAAAGCCCCACAACCTTTGGAGAAACACAATGCTTCTTCAAACTGTGAGCCTCAAGAGGTCCAGTGGCTTTTATATGAAGAGAATGCGCCTCTTGACGTGCTTAAGAATAGAAACCAACGTTTCTTTGGTCCCCCATGAAACAAGTACGGTATGTGACAAGAGACAAACCAGCAGCTTTCCTGCAAAAATGGCTCTGGAATAAACTATCATTAAAAAAAAAAGCAGACAAGCTTCTAGCTGCTTCCTTCGTGGAGCTTGTGAGGATGTCCCAAGTTTGGATATTTTTTTTTTACTTCCGGAAGGATAGGATAAGAAGAACGTGGAATCCATCAGAGAGACAACAAACTACGGGCTGTTAAGCGCCCAGCCCCTCTGAGGCCTCTTCACATTTCCCGTTTGCTGCAATGTTGGTTAAAGCTATGGCTCCTTCTAAGTCTTGTAGGGCATCTACATTGGAAAAAAAAAAAAGAGCAGGGTAAGGTAAGGCATCATAAAGACATGCTCAAATTTATATGCATTCATTCTAGAACAATGTTTCTCCATTTTGGCCATTTTAAGATATGTGGACTTCGACTCGCCAGAATTCCCCAGCCAGCATAGCTTATTCTCTTGTAATCCCTTTCTCTGCACTCTCTTCCATTTAGGGGGTAAGAGAAAAAGAAACAGGCATGGCTGGCTGGGGAATTCCGGGCGTCCACATATCTTAAAGTAGCTAAGGTTGAGAAATATGGACTTACAAGGAGCCCTTAGTCATTGGCAAA